AATTCAATGCCTTTTAAGACTTTTTAAGGACCCGCGGGAACCCTGAAAAACACAGTACGCTATTAGAGCTAACGTCTGGGTTCAAACAGCATCATAATAAGAACACGACCTAATGTTTAGGTTGGGTAAAGAAAACCAGAGAGCTGCTGCTTTATGACTATCATGATACATTTTTACCAAACAGAAGGAGAATCAGAACCTAAGATTATTTTTTAACACATAAAAGCGTTAAACAGCTGAAAAAAAGACAGTTGTGATTTGATTGTTTTGTTTTTTTTGAACTTATAAAACAAAAGTTTCCTTTTTATTCTTTCAAATGTTCAAAAACACGCAGGGTTTGGAAATTATGAGAAGAGTTTGGGTCGTGACATGATGACAGTCACTGGAAATGCTAACTGATGTTTATGAACGTCACACAGCAGGCTCACTCAGGATGAAACAAATAACAGATTTTTCTTCCTTAACAAAGTGATGTTTGCTGTTATTTATGGTCTTTTGAAATATTATCGATTGAGATGATGAAATACTCATTTAGAAAAACTGAACATGCTGTGATATAGAGCCATTTTCAGAAGCGGAACGCCACAAAGGAATCCTTCCTGAGATAATATTTTATCTATAAACAAAGAAAGTAGGAGTTTCTTTTGTTTTTTGTTGTCTTTTATTGAACAAACTATAAAAACTCTAATTTATTCCAGGTTATGAGACACAGCTGTCCATGAATTTATTATACTTACAGATTCTCAGTAGTAATGAGGGAAAAAAAAAGGTTTGACAGGGAAATAAACTGAATTACTATTTTATTGGTAAGAATTACTTTCAAAATGTTTCCACTACACTGGAAAAAATCAAAATCTAGATAAGTCATTTTTTTTCTTAAAATAAGTGCATTTGTTCTTAAATTGAGAAGGTAAAACAGACATTTTGCCAATGGAACAAGACAATTTATATTTAAATAAGGAAATACAATTGCATTTTTCTTATTTCAAGTGCATTTTATCTAAATATCTTATTTTAAGAGTAAAAATACTCATTCCTATGGAAGAGGATTAGGGCCACTGGGAAAAAAAAAAGTTAACTGATTTTTAAATTTTATTTCAGTTTAACATGGAAAAAAGTCAGAATTATGACTTTTTTCTCAGAATTCTGACTTTTTTCTCATAATTCTGACTTTTTTCTCATAATTCTGACTTTAATCTCATAATTCTGACTTTTTTCTCACAATTCTGACTTTTTTCTCATAATTCTGACTTTTTTCTCATAATTCTGACTTTAATCTCAGAATTCTGACTTTAATCTCATAATTCTGACTTTTTTCTCACAATTCTGACTTTTTTCTCATAATTCTGACTTTAATCTCAGAATTCTGACTTTTTTATTGTCAGAATTCAGTCAGAATTCTGACTTTTTTCCCCATACTAAACTGAAATAAAATTAAAAAATCAGTTAACGTTTTTTTTCTTTTTTTTTTTACACTGGCCCTAATCCTCTTCCGTACATTCCATTGGCAAATTATCTCATTAATCTGCTCAAATTAAGTGTAAATGCACTCAATTTGAGAAATATTTACTCATTTCTAGATCGTTTTTCCAGTGTAAATATAAGGAAATTATTTTGTTGTCATTAATGAGATTTAAAGAGAAAATAGCATTCTAATAAACATGTTTAGAAAAGTCTGCAACATGCTGTAGTCTGAAGTGCAGCGTCTTTATACTCTAATTGGTTTAATAAAAACTGAAAAATAATTTCTACGTCTGAAGCGAATGTATCTGTTAAATGGTTGGGCTTACCTGCGCTTCAGTCGCTTCTGAGGAAGAGCTCTGAAAAAGCAAGAAAAAGAAAACAATCTATACTCCAACATGACTTCAACAGACAAACAATGTTCAAGTCACATAATCTGAATCTGGCAGCTGGAGCGTAGCGCTTACCGCAACAACTACCCACCAAACACATTTGTTTTGAAATTGTATGCACTGGTACAACCTTGACATAAATTGTCTGGTTGCTGACGGTTAAATTCAGCTATGAAACCAGAGTCCGGCTGCAGGCCCTGCAGTTTCGGAGCCTTCAGGTTCAATTAGAATCACTCAGCCTGGCTGCGGATTAGCAGGCTACTGAGCCATATATCTCTGTTAAGGAGACCATTCTGTTGTTCCTCTTTCAAGAATTCACCTCGTACATTTTATGACTTTCGGTGCCATAAAGTAAAACTTGTTTTACCATCTCAATAAAGAAAACTGTAAAGCTTATATAACAGCTAAAACTCAACATCAGGGCTGATGTGGAAGGTTTTAAAGATAAACAGAATCAGCAGAGAACAGCATCAAAATATGTTTTAATTATAATGCAACACTAATCAAAACTGAATTTCTTTCATACCTGTCAGATTACCATAGCAATTGATTCTCTAATGACTAGCTTATAAATTGGATTCTGATTTGATATAAATGAAATAAAGAAACATTTAGATTCGGATGTGGCCTGTTTCTGAACTTGGTCAGCTTGAACCGCAGGAAAAAAAACAAACAAACTGTTAAGTAAAGAAAATCTGATATTCCTGCAAAGAGCTTTCTCCAGCTAACCATTGAAAATCAACACTTGGTGCCCCCTACTGGAGGAATGCGAGGCTGCAAACCAAACCTCAGCATGTGGCAGTAATCCTTGCAGATTAATTCACCAAAAAATGAGATAAGAAGTTACGTAGTAGTTTTTAACTACTCAGCTATTTTTTCATGACCAGATGATAATGGATAGGGCTCGATGGAGACACTAGAAGCATCATATTCTCACCGGTAGATGTTGGGGTCTAGCATCATTGCTGTGTCCTGCGGTAATTGCGATAAGTGCACTACTTTTGTTTTCAGCTGAGATCGCTCCGTTTCATTCACCCACACGTCTGGCAAACTGCAAAAAAAAAAAGATTAAAGATTCACTATGAATCAAAGGAAACAGATAGAAAAAGCAGTGCTTTATGGTGAAAAGGTTTGTGTTTTTAATACACAATATGAAGGGGGCCTACAATGTTTCTGAATTATTAGTTTATGTGTGCATTTATTAGATTGTTTCTAATGTTAAATATTTTCAATAAGATTTTTCTTACTTTTTAAACCAAATGTAAAAAGAACATATCTGCAGGAATTCATTCATGCACACTATAGTATGTTGCTCCGCTGCACATACAGCATTTTAAGCTCCTTTGTGAAAAGTAGTGCAAGCACTACCACGGCAAACTGAGGTGCAGAAAAAAAAAAAAGCCAACAAAGAGCTTAGCAAGTCCACTGCGCTTCCCCCCTCTTTCCTCCACCCCCAGCGTTCCCCCGTCACGATGTGCGTCATCCCAGGAGCCCCCAGAGACGCACGCACACACACTGCAGTACGTTAGGCAGGCAGTCGCCCAGCCAGAATCAATCACACAGCTAGTCAGCCCTTTCAGTGGGACGGTGTGCAGGCAGTGCTTCACATTTAGAGGTGAGAGCAAAACCCAGACATGAAAGACAAAGGACTACAGGGGCTGGGAAAAAATGCAAAGGAAGCAGAAATCCAAAAGGTTAATATCGGTAAAACAAAAGAAGCAAATATCAGCATTTTTAAAACATCAGTAAACGTTTCAGGTCTTGAAGATTTCTTCAGTTCGCTACTTTATAAACAGGTTTATTAATAAAATTACTCAAATATCGCTTTAAGAATTTAAGAACACAGATTTTTAAATTTTTTTTTTTTGGTAGTAGGAAGGGAAACAGCGCTATCATGTTGTGATGAAATAAAAATATATGTAATGGACCAAAAAAATGGATCCAAAGCCTGCCTGGTTTATCTCACCAAAAAGAAATATAGTTTTATTCATGTGAAAGGCGTCATTTTCTTTTTTAGAGCCTATGCAAGAAAAAATTAGAAAAAAAACTTACTAATAATTTGCCCATTTAGGATCAGTAACAACAATCTTGGTTCAGATATGCAAACATATGTTACTATAAAAAAAATCCTGAGAACTGTGTTAAGAATAATAATAAAAAAAAATACATCAAAACAATTTCTATAATAATAATAATAATAATAATAATAATACATTTTATTTAACAGCGCCTTTCTTGACACTCAAGGTCACTTTACAAATAATACAAAAAAATAAATAAAAAGAGATGAAAATACAAAATTGTTCTATATTCTATATCCTAACACTCCTCTAAACGAACTTGTATCAACAGGCAATTTGTAAAGAACTTACAGGCCTAAAAAATTAGGATCCGCTGTGACAAAACAAGTGGAAATAAATAGGAAGGTTTTAAAGGGAAAATATAGGAGAGGATCCAGGATGGAAATGAAAGAAAAGGGATTAAAAAACTACATCAAATGTTTGAAAGCTAACTGTAACGTCATAAATCATCAGGGAGACACAACGTTTACATCCTAAGGGGCTAAAAAAAATAGCTTGAAGTAAATACCTGGGGTGAAACTTACATCTTCCCTTTAATGGAGGAGAGAGAAAAAAAGAGGAAGTTTCTCCTCCTCTATCCTCTGTTGTCTGCGTTTCTTCTCAACTAAAAGTTAAGATGAGAAACAGTTCCTTTCAAAGCAGTTTACATTAGCTTTGAATTAGTCTTCCTGAGCCTGTGTGACAGAGGAGGATCTGAAGAGCGGCTTCTACCCAGTAAACATCTGTGCGGTTATGTGACTGAACCCTCACGTTTTCCAGTTTCCATATCAATACGTCCATGCATTTAAAACCAGATACTCCTCATCTTTTCTACTTTTTTTTCCTTCCTGTTCTACTTCCATTGCAGAGTCTGTGAGATCTGTAATACACTCCCTGCATGAATTATAATAAAGCTATTTATATGCAGAAATCAAGTAGAACTCTACGGCGATAGCAGTAATGCTGCACTTGTGGAAGCAAAATCTGTTGGGTTCTTTTTGGCAACAAGACAATTATTTTTATTGCCACATTGCCGGACAGGACACTGTGAAATAAAAAAAAAAAAAACCCAGATACATAAAGATTTGAAAAATTTTAAATAAAATTCTGAGTGTAAGAAACAAAATGAGGACAGGGGGATTTTATTCCTTTGTAAACAACCAATAAAAAGCTAAAATGTTCAAATATCTTATCTGAAATATGTAAAGAATGACTGAAGAATCTTCACCTAAACTTCAAACAGGTTAATTAAAGGAAAAGTCCGTTCATATTCAGAATTCAAACTTCTGAAAGTAA